TTTTTGCACTTGGATCTTCAAATGTTTGGAAATATGTAATTTCCTCATAATGTAATTTATGCTATTGAGCCACGATGATACAATTAATCTATAGGAACTTTCTTGGGCCATACGAATTGATTTGGCCTGACATAGGGTTGTTAAGTCCCACAAACGAATCCACCCATCTTTATTTGGCTCGGCTAGGATCGACTTGTCCTGAGCCTTTGCGAGTCGAGACTATGCAAGCATGCAAACTGCGATTGATCACACCCCACCCCAGAAGGGTACCATCTAATTAGACGATCGTTTATTCCTCGAATTCAAATATTAAAATCAATTATTTTCCGTTGAATTCGTGGTCTATAAATGAGGACGGATGGTAAATAAATTGCATCACACTTCAAAATTCTCAATGATCATGTTAATGTACTAGTTTATTTATTAGTTGAAGTTTTATTTCTAATTTTTCAAATAGGGCAACGTTGAAGCGCTTTAATTTGGGACAAAATCTTCCACAATACTTTTGACGACGCCTACGCGCTCGGATCCACTCTATCCCAACAAATCCTTGGTCCAATTTTTGTCTTCTTTGATTCTTGAATCCTTCTACTTCAATACTCCTAAAAAATAATAATAAAAAAAAATACTTCCAATAGTATTTCCAATCAATACCCCTTTCAGGGGTGATCGAGTTGGTGGGGCAGGTGAATGCGGAGATCAAATGTCACGAGTTCGAATCCCCTGCCAACACTTACTCGGTCGAGCATGTCGCACCGGACTTGCCTAGTGCGGTTTACCTCTCCAGTGTGGTTTGCAGGTTACTGTACATGGAACATGGTTTACCTAGTGTGCACTCATAGTGATTGGACATCCGCCCCTTCGGGGTGGTCAGAGCTCTGCGGCTGATAATTGCTGCGGATTCTTACGTCAACAAAAATAGTATTTCCAATCAAATACTAAACAAGATTTCGAGTCATACCAAAATTCTAACATCTATATCAATTAGGTAGTTTATGGACATTCATGTCACTTTTTACTCTCAAATGTGCTTCACGAGTCTCACTCACTTATTCATCGTCCATCTCTATCTATTTATGATATAAATAATTTATAAAAGCTCGCCAAACATGTTGTAATACAAAACTCCCACTCCAATTAGCACATATTTGGTTTGGATTAAAATTTTGATAAAAATTTAAGTTATAGTCAGCAATTAATTTTAACTACGTATTTAATGTGATTCACAAGTTTTTAACCATTTATTTCATCAACTTTTACCATATCTATTAAAAATCCAACTTTAATCGGTACCAAACAGGAATTTACTTTAATCGGTATCAAACAGGAACTTAAAATCTTAGACATGCCACGTGCTATTAATGTTGTCAATTAAAGTATGTCATTTTCTTAAATCACTTACACGTAGTAGTATGAAACCCACCTTTTGACTTGAAAAAAAATAAAAAAAATAAAAAAATGAAACTTACTCTTCTAATTGACCACTTCAATTATCTGCAACTAATTTTGTTCTTATCTATGAAATTTTTTATTCATGCATAATAAGTAACAAGACAACAATTTTATCGAGCACAAGATAGACACGTTGTCATCTCACCCAATTTATGCAAATGCTCAATGTTCATAAAATTCTTTAGTATTTAGGGATTATTCATCCAAAACAAGTTCATAAAACTAATACGAACATCCTCGATGTTTTTTAACAAATCAACTATACAAAACAAAACTACTATGTAACTTAAACTTTCGTAATCAATAAACTTAAATTCGATTAGATTATTAACGTGTTCAATACATGAATATATGGTGTATAGTTCTAGAAGCTTTATTGTGCTAATACCTTTCAAGATATTTAAAATGGGTCCAATGATCGAATAAGTATATAGAAAAGCCAAAAATGCCGTGCACTAGTGTTCAATATATGAATATATGGTGTATAGTTCTAGAAGCTTTATTGTGCTAATACCTTTCAAGATATTTAAAATGGGTCCAATGATCGAATAAGTATATAGAAAAGCAAAGTATGCCGTGCACTACATGTAGCCATTACAAGCACACGAATCAAAATAGAACTACTATCTAATAACTTAAACTAAATTTCATAATCGGTAAAGCCCTTGTTTGATTCCAATTTTTTTCGAAATACATTTTTTTTCTCCTCTTTCAAATCACACATTCTTCAATAAAATATTAGTACACGCAAATTCAAAATTTTTTCTTATTTTTAAGTTTTAACCACACATTTTTCATCAATATACTATTCCAAAATACATTATTGGGAAAAAATGGGGCTTATACAGGTTCAACTAGAATATTCACATGTTCAATATATAAATATACAGTGTACAATTCTAAATGTTCGATTGTGCCTAATATTTTTCAAGATATCCACAAAGGATTCAACGATCAAATAAGTAAAGAAAAAGTAATATTATGTAATTTCACATATTACTTAATGTCATGTTATGGCTACTATAACTGAAGTAATTTCAATGAAATTAAATAGCGTTGCTCAGCTCAAAACGGTCTTGTTAGGGGTACATTACCCCTTATGTAAGGGATAATGTACAAGAAGCATTATTCATCTCAAAAAGTAGAGCACCCTCGCTATATGTAGCCTTTACAAGAACACGTCAAATTCCCACGAACAAAAAATGTCCATAGTTTTAATCATTGACCTTTTTCACGGTCATTGCACTCAGGTTTTTGTACTTTGAGAATCTTTCGAAGCTTCCATTCTTGGACCCCTACCTAGCTGCCATCCATTCGAGTCCACTAAAATTAGTCCAAAGTTCAGAGCCCATAAACTGCAAGGGTAATGCTATATGTACATACACACTTTTACACAATCTTTTACACCTCTCTCATTTGGAGGGGGGTCCACAATTATTTTATTATGTGTGGCCCCCTTCCATGTGAGAGAGGTGTAAAAGATTGTGTACATTTAACATTAATCAAACTACAATTCATTATTCAAGCCATTGTTTCGGATTCTTTATCTGTCTGCGTGTTTCGGCAAGTTTTTGTATCGTGTAGCGAGAAAAATGGGGCACGGGACTTCGAAAAATGAAGCCTTTGACGAGTCAACTGACATTTCAGGCTCAATGTCATCAAGAATTCATAAACTCCGGCAGCGGCTCCACCTCCACCGCCGCCGCCACCACCGCCACGGGAGTGACTCAAACTCGAAGTCCAATCTCTCCAAACACCTCCTCAAGGAGGAGGACTTTGTGGGCATCGCCCGCCTCCGCCTCATCAGGGTACACCTATGATAGTTTGTTCATATAAGCACATACGGGGAATCAAATTCATGCCAATATCTATAAATATTGAAGTGGGTTTGCTAGTTATGTTTTCGTGTTTACCGTAGGCGGAAATGAAATTCAAGGATAAATGGCTTTCTTGTGTTTCGCTTGGGGAACAGACTTTTCGCACTGCTATTTCTGATCAGTTAAGCGCCGAGCTTCTACTTTTCGTACTTACGTACATGTATTCTTGTAGGGCCCTGTCAAACTTTTGATTTTACTTCTACAAGGAGAGCTTCATGAAGAAGTCCTCTAAAAGCTAAGACAAAACACTTTTAGAAAATTATCTAAACATATTCAAAAACAGCTCCTAGTGTCAGACGCAAGTAGCTTTTGGCTTTGCCCTGCCAAATAGCCCGAATAATGTTCTGAGAGAATGCTCGACTGGATGAATAGAATAATTTCTATTGTTCTTAAGCTGGTTAATTCTTGATAGTTGTATGGAGTTTCACTTGAATGCTGTTAACCAAAATACTGGTTACAGTTGCAACATAAAATTGGATAGGGAGTGTGCAAAACGAGGTGCTTGCAAGGCAACGTGAAATAAGAGAGATTATTGAAATTAAATTTAATCTCCTATTGGTAGTAGCTTGGAATGAAGAAGGGGCCCAATTAGTGTGCTTCACACAACATAAATTAAGTTAAAATGAAAGATAGAATAGAAAAAGAGACATACTATGAACAAATTGAAGACTCCGTCTTTCCTGAATGAAGTTAATTATAGCCGACGAAAGAAAGAACTGATATAAAAGTCAAACAACTTACTGAAGAGGGATATCTGTGTCCATATTCTGTTCAATGTCTAATAAATATATACGTATTGAAAATGTTTGTTTTCTTACACTTGGCTTTGAGGTGGCAGCTACTGTATGGAGAGAATGACTCTGTATATATCATCATCATAGTTGTCACTACCATTATTTGATGTGTCATGACTGGGAGATAGATGGAAACATTTAAGTCTTCAAATCCTAGTTCATGCATGTTAGTATATGTCTCTTTGTGGTCCTGCACAGTGTTAGAACTTTTCTTTGGATGGAAATAGAAACATCACCACCTGTAGGAATGAAGAGACTGATAATCGGTTAAGAGAGAAACAGCGGAACATTTTAGATATTATTGTCATTTAAGTTCTTTGTTGAGGATAGTTTCGTCTTTTATGTTGTTCAGGTTTTACGTTTTATCTTTATATTTTTGTCTTTGTAATTTTTTCTATATAATTGAATAACAAGCTTATGTTTTGTTTAAATAACAAAAAAGAGAGAGTAACAGTGACTGAAAACTTTATGGTCAATTTTTGGATAGCTTATGTTCATATTGGACTTTTATGATTTATAAAATTATCATTAATTCAAAATTTCCCAATTTTCTTGTTTATATATTTTAAGGAAATTTACATAACTCCTCTTTAGGCTCCAAAGATAAGTCCTAGAATTGATCAGGACCTACATATGTTAACTATTTCCATACAAGTCCTTAACCCTCTTGAAACTGTGTTGTTCTTCTAGTTTTGCTCTTTCATGTCAGTTAGTCACAGTGCATTTCCCTAACTCTTGGCATCTTTGAATAAAATTTCGTCTTTTTTTCTTAAATTAAAATTCACCTTGAACTATCTTTATCTTTATAGACCAAATACTAGTATTAACTATCATAATCCATCAGTATGGTGATAACTTAATGGCATTCTCATATATGCCATTATAGTGGATATTTGTGTACAAATACTATGCTGTGTTAAAGATAATTTTATTAATATTTTCCAAAAGTAGGAGCTTGGTTGAAATAAATTTTGATAGGACTTGATTGTCCTTTGGAGGAAAAGTTGGACTGACAATTTTTTTCTTTTGTTTACTGCATTACTTGTTTCTCATAAAGAATATCTTCCCATAAAATGTCCTATCTTTTTTACTCTTCTTTGATTTTGTTGTCATGCTGTTCTCTTGACATGGGAGAATCATTTTTTTTTAATATTTAGATATCTGGGACTCATGTTTCTTATAAATAACCGGGTCACTTTGCCAAATTAATTTACTGCAGATTCACTATGACAAATGATATTCCTTCGACCGAGATTATACCATGTCAATTTTCTGAAGGCATTGAAGATTTTTGCATATGTTAATATACATTCTTCCCTAATTCTCATATGTTGATTTTTTTTGTTGGTCGTGCAGAACTGACAAGCCTGTCTGGAATTCTGTAAGTAAACCCACATTAACATCACTTGATGCTTGGATTTCTACGTATTACATCCAAAACTCTCTCTATCCACTTCATTTGGGTGGATATATAATATTCAACGAGATAAACCTTCGTTTGATAATTATTTCAATTTTCAAGTTTATGATAATCGCAACTATGAAATCCATCGTCAATACCTTATATCTACACATGGTACTGCACTTTGTAGATTGAGGATTTGAGCAAATAAAGGTTATAAGGAGTATGGCAATATGAACTTTACTCTATGGTACATATGGCATGAAAGAATTGCCTTGTCTTTTGGAGGACTGAAATTGCCCATTTGTGATGAACTGTAGAGGCTCTGCCCTTTCTGGCTTAGAGGGCGGTCCCCAATTTGACCATTATCCAAGAGAATTTTCTAAAAAGTTATGAGGCAGTCTTTACCTCCCGAAAAATTTCTGTGTGGTGAAGATGTTTAATTTATATTTCTGCCACTAACTAAAATGTTTTGGTGATTATATCTTCTGTTACCACTTAGGAAACCAGTACTATGTTTTTTCTACTATCTTCTCTTGTCAGATAGAGAATATTGAGATCTGCCATAGTAGTTTCTACATTTCTCCCCCTCTTCATTTTCTTCCATGCTCTTGGCTACTTACACAATAACTAAAGTGCCATTTTATGCCTGGTTTCCAGTCAATGCTGGAAGAGTTTAGCTTATTGATCATTTTGTCATACTAACATTAGCAATTGATTTCATTTTCTGCAGGTGAAAAAACTTCTTTTGGAGAAAATAGGGGCACATGTTGCGAGAATATCTATATTTGAGGTATGTATTATATCTGCATTCGTTAAATTATTTTGAACTTATGAACTTTATCTCAATGAGGAGCACATATTCATCATACAAATTTATATTCTTTTGCTCTTCTGCTTTTCTGTGTACTTGATATATATAATTCTAGATCTTTTGAGTTTACATGTTCACTTCATTGTATCATAACATGCTAACTCATCATATTTGTTGTTGATGTAGACCAATAGATTATCCAAGAGCAACCTTATTGGCTATTGTGAGATTGATCTACTTGAATTTTTTACTCAGGTTAGATATGCTGTTTGCAGTGTTTGTGTGCTTTATGTTTGTGAAGAATATTATAAATTGTATATAATAAACTTATTTCTATTACAAACTAGAAGACCCTATTTATAGGGTTAGAAATAACTGTAAAAGGAAATAAACATTAAAGGAAATATTACGTAATCTACTACTAAGGAAAGTAAATATTATAATCGCAATCTTTGACGATCTCTGTAATCTTATTCTATATTCTTGACAAT